CTATAATGTCAGGCCATCGCCAATCAGTTCCCATCTTGAACATAACAACCGAGTGAACACCGTCCTTTGGGATATTCATTAAATCCTATAATTTTGATTCTTGATTTACAAGTCGTATCACCAAAACTAATAGATATTGTCTTTAATTACATTTTACAAGCCCCACGTATCGAGGAAAGGTATGTTCACAGAGACAAAGATAAACAAGCGTACGAATATAAGAGACCACAGAGGCTGATTTTGTCCATTTCTAAGCCATAGGTGGTAAAACTACATGTCCAACTGTGCCATTAAAACTGAAACAGACTCCAGAAGCTTCTGGAACCACTGCTCATCCAGCCGAGGCAAGGAAGTCTCTGGTACTTGTTAAGGGATGGAGGAAGCAGGGATGTCTGGCAACATATAAAATGTTAATCTAGTAAGACGCAATATAGATACACATATCTGGCAGATAGATAAAGACATAGAATATGGTATCTGTAATTTCCATAAGGGGATTACTTTATGACAATACTAGGGAGATGTGATTTTTCTAGACTGCACAGCAAGATTTGCTTGTATGAAGCACATTAATAAATGGTGCATACCCTTCTAAAGGTGAAGAAAGTAAGTAGCAATGTAATGAATTCCATGCTCAAAATTCACTCATGTAAGCAGTAAACCTTGTGGAAAGTTGTTATGTTTTATAGACACTCGAATAAAAACAAAACAAAAACTCCTAACACTCTCTTGAGAAACAGGAGACCTACTTAAGACCAACAGGCAGCGTAGCTGGGTGGCTCAGGCGCGGCTCTGGGGTGGATGCTCCGGATTTAAGTTTTGGCACTAACACCGCCCAGCTCTGTGTCTTCTGGCAAGTGACCCGACCTCCATGCCTCAATTTTCCCACATGTAAAGCGGACATAAACACAGCAGCTGTCCCGGGGGCTGCTGAGGGCATTCAGGATGTGATGGCATGTGACATCCCCATGGCAGGGACTGGTGCTGGAAGGCATGCCCAGTGTTAGCTCACTCTCGGCTCCACAGTGCGGACGCGCACTGCCTCACAGAGAATGCGTGCGCACAGGGAAAGGGACGCAAACCCTTCATTGTGAAGCTGGTATTGAATTTTGAAGCTGGTATTGAAGCAAAGGTGTCAAAGAATACTTAAGGGTCTTCCAACCAGCCGTCTCCAGACGGTGTCAAGTATCTGACCACAGGGAGGCAATAACCTTCTTCAAACACCCACCTGATCCCGCTTCTAAACATTCATCTTGTTTATTTAACACAAAGGGCAGCATTTGGGGGCAGAAGGATGTGGGAATAAAAGTTACAGTTATCAGTGGCCAACTCCAATCGGGACCTAAAATGCCTCTTCCGTGGCTGACTCTTGTGCTGCGTGACCTCGGGAACTTGTTTCTGCTCCTTGTGTCAACTGGGATAGGAATATGGGTTTGTTTGAGCTTCTGAGTCAGAATCTCTGCAAATAAAAGTGCCTTTCCTTGAAACCAACACCTCAGCACACGGGTACACATACCCAGACCCACATGCACACACATGCAGGTACACACACAGATGAGCAAGGGTACACACACACCCCCACGTTTACACACACAGATGAGCACGGGTGCACACCCACACCCACGTGTACACACACAGATGAGCATGGGTACACACCCACACCCACATGTACACACACAGATGAGCACGGGTGCCCACCCACACCCACATGTACACACACAGATGAGCACGGGTACACACCCACACCCACATGCACATACATGCAGGTACACACCCACACCCACATGTACACACACAGATGAACACGGGTACACACACACATCCACAGGCACACACCACTTCTCTGCAGGAAGCTCCCATGGAGGAAACACTGGCTGCCCAACGACCTGGCCTCAGAGAACTAGAATCCTTGATGAGACGGTTCAGCATAGCATTTTATGTAAAACAGAAAATAAACTGTAGGATTTTACATTCAGGCTGCTTCCCTTGTCAAGACGCCTTTGCAGCTGCCGTCTGTGTACACGATGAACAAGAGAACAAGGTGGACTTTATTATCACCAAGGTAGACTTTATCCTCAGAAGTCTCATCCAATCAACCGCTGAGAGGACACTGAGCACTGTGGCTTCTCCCACAGGGTTTCCCTGTCCTCAAAACAAAAGACTCTCTTCCCTGTTTCTAAGACGGAAAGGCTTTGGTCCCAAACGCCACCGCACCAACCTGCTGCTGCAGTGCGTGTACCTGTGTCAGGCACCGTGCCCTGTGGAGGGGCTCTAGTGAGGAGGGGTGCTGGCCGGGGAAGGTTGCCACTGGTTTGCAGCGAATTCACGATTCCAAGGAATGCGGATCAAGCCACCTGCTCACCCCACAAACAATAGAATATCCCAGGAGAAGATGGACAAGGTCTCTGGAGAAGGGAACCAGAACCATAGCACTCTCAGGGTTGAGCCCCAGACCACTTACTTAGTGACTGTGTGGCTCTGCACTGCGGCCAGTGCTGCAGCAACCCTTATGTAGCGCAGGGTTGGTGGCAGGAGGAAAACAGTGAAGTAGGAAGAGAGAATGATGCGGCCACAATGTTCCAACTGAAAACAGGCTCTCAATTATAAAAAAAGAAAGAAAGAAAGAAAAAAATCATAAAATAAGTAGATTTTGACCATGCCCTCCTAAACAGGAGACCCTCGGAGTAGAAGCGACATGAATGCAACCTCAGGGAGCCCGTCCCGCCTGACCTCTGTCGGCGCAGTGCTCACCCGGGGCCACAGAGCCCACAGCCTGACAGCCAGGATGAGCTGCTCCGCTGGGAGACCTGAAGGTCAGGTCTACACGTTGAGGAGTCAGGAGGCAGAGCACGGCTTCCACCAGGCCAGGCCGCCTCCACACCCTGTGCTCAGGGGCCTGCTCAGCCACACCTCTGCTCCTGGCCAATGATGTCATGAGATCTGTGGCTCCAGGGCGGCGGGGGTTTTGATCCTTGTTGCTGGTGTGTTTGCTTGTTTTCTCTATGTGCAAAATACAGCCATTAAAAACACAACCCGATAGAGCTCTTCACAGGAAATCTAGACTGTCCATCACAAAAGTTCATCCTGACAGAGAAAAAGGGAAAAGACTAGTGCTTTATTTTAAGTCCATCATTTTCCAGAGGACGACTTGGAAGCTGAGAGATGGCCACAGGAATAATTGAAAGTCACCCAGCAGGTGGAAGGGTGAGGAGGAGCAGAGGCCAGGACCCCCACTCTGGTCCCTGGGCCAGGGCTAAGGATACAGCAATGCCAGGGTCTCTGGGGCGTCCTCACCATCTACTCTCAAATGCCGTCTTTGATGTGTGGAAGGAGACTTCAACCTCAGTAACATCTGACGTGGGGTGAACATCACTCCCTCCCTCACGCTTACCCCTCAGGGAGGTTTGCAGGACTCCTGCAGCCACGGTACACAAGGCCAATCTGTCTCTGCTGCCCCAGAAAGCAGCAAAACCCAGAGGAGGCCAAAGGAAAGGTCGTGCTGCTTTGGATTTGTCGAAGGGAAGGACAACAGGCATTAAAAAGAGGCAAAGCCATCACAGAAAATTCAAATGTAGTGTATCTCCTAGGGAGATACACTACACACCTACCAGCATGGCTAAAATAAAAAACAGTGTCAACAGCAAAGGCTGGATGCAGACAAACCAAATCACTCACATGGCTGGTGGGAATGTAAAACGGTTCAGCCATAGATGGGCAGTTTCCTATGTCAAGAAATGTGCAATTACCCGACAACCCAGCATTTGTCCACAAAGGCATATATGCCACAGAAACAAACTCATGTTCACCCAAAAACAGCCGCACGAAGGCTGCTGGCAGCTTTATTCATAAGAGCCACAAGCTGGGGATAGCCCAGACGTCCTCCAACAGGAAAATGGTTCATCAGACTTGGTCCAGTCGTACCACAGAACACTACCCAGCAATAAAAAGGAATAAGCTATTGATACAGGCAGCAACCTAAATGGATCTCCAGTGAATTAAGCAAAGTGAAAACAGCCAGTGCTAAAAGCATACATACAGTATGATTACACTTATGTAACATTTTTGAAATGAAGCAATTATACAAATGAAGAACGAATGAGTGGTTGAGAGAGCTTAGGGATGGTGGGGCGGGGAGGGGAGAGGTATATGTGGCTATAATTGGGCAACAAGCAGAACCTTTGTGACGATGGAAATGCTCAGTGGCTTCACTGTGGTGGAGTCCACAGTATATACAAGTGGTGAAACTGCACACAACTCAATACAAACACTAATGAATACAAATTAAACTGAGGAAATCCGAGTAAGATCAGAGAATTGCATCATCGACTCCCTTATACACAAGATCTCTATGACTTCCTACAACTGCACACGAACCCACAATTATCTCCATAAAAACTGCAATGAGAAAGAAAAACAGAGATGAACAGAAAGTTCTTTTGAAGAATCCCATGTGACTGAGAATTCTACGGTCATTGTTAGTGCTCAGAGAAACAATAAAAGCCCGTGTACTAGAAAATTAACCAACAGCCCTCACTGGAGATGATAAACAAGGCACAAGTTCAATACTGAATGAGTAAGAAGAAAACGCTCATGATTAAAAAAACTGAAATACGTGAAATGTCAACACTTTGCAAAAGCCTCGTGCATGGAGCTGACGGTGGCTAGGGCTGATAAAAACATGTGGGTAACATGAGAGCGCAAAGCGACGCCGAGCAGAACCCGTGTGCCCATGACGACAGCTATGGGAGATCCAGGTCCAGGCTGTTTTTCTCCAGGGGATGGAGCTCAAGTTCTTACAGCTAGAGCCCTGTGTTGTCATAAGCAAGTCACCGCAAACTCAGAGTCCATGTCTCCCTAGAACTGTTTGCCTCACAGAGTTAGGAACAGCGTTTGCAGAACATTTTATTGAAGCCAGCTTGGTCTCCAGGCAACATCACTGTTCCCAGCAGACATGAATTGGGAGCCATAGAAAAGGTGAGAGCCATTCTCCCCACACTTACTTATTTTGCACCATGTTCATGATCACCCAGTCGAAGGGGTAAACGTTCTTTCCAATGAGGTTCTTAAACATGATGAATGTTTCCATTAGGAAATCCTGAAATAAAAAAAAACAAAACACTGAAATGGCTCACCAAGAAAAAGGTAAAAACGATACACCCCCCCATCGATGATTAGATTATAAAAGACCCCATTTTTAAGGGCCAAATGAAAACATCCTGAAAAGTAATGAAGATACATTTCATAGGAGCTGTGAATTAGACCTGTCTTTCTGTTTACCCAAGCACCTCCTGTCTGAGCTGGCTCCTTCAAGAATATATTCTGAAATAGTCCCTGAGCATGTCTCTTTAATAGTTAAAGAGTAAATCCCCAAAGGTTAGGAATAGGCATTCAAATCCTTTTTGCTTCTAGGAAAACATGATTTTTACAAACAAGGCTTGCAGGTTACAGCTTTTTCTTATGTTTGCTCTAAATCCATTTTTCATGATGAACAGGACATGATTTCAGGTTGAATACAGGATGCTACTGTCTGTTCCTTTCTCTCATGGAATTTCAAAATGAAAGGCTCCAATAGGAACTCCTGACCATCTGCACAGATTCGGCACGCAGTAAACCATTTGAGTGTATGGCCATGTTGCCAAACTCTCCTAGCTGGCAGCTACATCCCCAAAAGCTACCGAGTTACGCTTCTGGTGTCTTAGATGATGCTCTCTGTACTTCACAGGGCAACTGAAAAGAATCAGGGTTTGGGACACACCCAGTTGCTCTACCCTGCTTCCACGCCAATAAGAATGTGCCTGGCATCAGGAAGTTCCTAGGGGCTGTCCATTATGTGTGTATCAGAATTAGAAGATTTCCTACTTTCGAGAGCTTGACAGGTGCTCTGAGCTAACCTGAACAAAACAAGTGGCTATCCCAAAAAGCACACACCCCTGGTAGCCCCAAACTCACACAATACCCAAGGTGGGAAAGGAAAAGGCAACCAAGGACTGTCTTAGAAAAGTGAGGCCGTGGTCAGGGATCGTCAAATGAGTGGATATTTCTCATTTATTTAATCTCCGGAATCATAATTAGGTGCAATGGCTGTGAAGGCCAAGGTGGTGAACAGAATTTAAGCAGCCAAGAAAGCAATTCCCAGTACAAGGTCTAAATAAGCAGCTCCTGCAAAGAGGCACAGTTAAATTTGATGACAATAACAAGCTAATGTTCAAAGTTAACATACTTTCTCTCCAACTCTAATGGCCACGTCAGGTTCTGGCAGGTGAAGTCCGCGGTGTGAGGAGTTTGCTGTGCCCCCACCGTAAATAAAATGAGTGATCCTGATCACTCTATTTGAGCAGATGCCTCCAGTCTAGGAGACATTAGTGACCTGGACAACATCAAGTTGGAAAAGTCAGTCCAGATGTCCTCCAAACTCTGCACGTAGGCGCTGTGTCCTCCTGATCTCAGGAGCGGGAGCATCCCAGTCCTCCCTTCCGACACAACAAATGGTTTCTTTTCCAGTTTAATTATTGAAATTCATATTTCACTACTGAGTTTCCTCACTTTGTCAAGAGTTTCCCATTTTAACGACCAGGCTGCATATTTTGTAGGCTGAGTACCGCAATTCAGTCACATCTCTATTTGCATGAAATTGCTGGCTTTCTTGATGATTACTTCTCAAATCCTAATAATTGAGATACAGGCTCTCGTTTTTATTATTCTGGAAGAGAAGCATATTTTCCCAATTCTCTTTCTTTTCTAAGAGACACAGTCCCATACTTCATTAGTATGGCTCAGCTGTTAAATTTTGGTACTTTGCTGATCAAACAAAATGCTGCATCTAGTGGGAGATGAGGCTCTGCAAGTCTTCCTTGCTTTCTGCATAATTCACTAGCCATGGCGGTGGCCCCTATCAACTGTGTTTGCCTCGAGCAGCTGACGAGGCTTACCAGACTGTTCCACTAGGGTCTCCAAGTCAACAAGGGGTATTTTGTAAAAATTTCATCATTCAACGTGGATTTATTCCTGTTGCATTTTTTAGTTTTAGTTTCTATTTATTTTATTTATTCATTTCACTCCCTCACCCAGGCTGGAGTACAGTGGCACGATCTTAGTTCACTGCAGCTTCAACCCTGGGACACAAGTGATCCTCCTGTTTCAGTATCCTGAGTGTCCAGGGACCACAGGTGTGCACCACCATGCCTGGCTAGTTTTTTAATTTTTAGTAGAGATGGTATCCTGCTATATCGCCCGGGATGGTCTTGAACTCCTGGGCTCAAGAAATCCTCCTGCCTCGGCCGCCCAAAGTGTTGGGATTACAAGTGTAAGCCACTGTGCCCGGCTGCATGTTTTAGTTTGACTATTCACAGGATGTCTTATACAACAAGCAGGCTGCTCTAACAATAGTCATCCATCTATTTCAGAGGCAAGATCATGTCATAACTCTGTCTGCACCTTTCCATCCCTGTCCCCACTTGAATAAAACAGCCATCCTCTCACACCTGGACTTAGGTCCATCCTTGTCCTTTGTTGTCCCCACGCTTCATTTTTCAAATGATAAATCTGATCAAGGCATCAATGCTTTCCAGACATCACATGGAACCCATTTCTGTAATGGCTTCCCAATGCTCTTAGACTAAAGACAAAGCACTTGACTCTTAGACTTAGGAAATTTCCATTCTGCTCAGCCAAAGGAGTAACCATTATAGACAAGGACCAGCCATAGATTTTCAACCCATCCAATGAAGGATTGTTAGGGAAATAGGACATGTCCACATTTTTGTGGATTCAAAGTTTCATCCAAAGATTATCTGATAATTGCAAAGGTAGGAAGAGGTACATATTTTCACAATGGAGGGATCTGGAAGTTACCAGCTTTTAACCCAGTGGTCAAATTCAGCATCACCAGTAGTGGGTGAGCATGACATGCCCAGCCTCCTGAAGTAACACAGCAGAAAGCTTTCAACACCAGTACTGAAACACTCTTGCCAAAGAGTTGAGCTTGAATCTCAGAACAAGCTTCTGGTTTGCAGAACACACAGGGGGATAAAGAAACCAGTTGAAAGGCATATTACAAGGCAGCATTAAAAAAGCTATGGATTGATCTCTTCAGAAAAACTGAAAAGCAATGCTATGAACAGAAAACAAAACAATGTGATGGTGATGGATTTATTTTAGAAAAAGAAAGATTAAAGAGACACAACTACCAAATGTGATGGCTGAAAAAGACATAAAAGTTTGGAAAGAATGAAGGAAATCTGAATATAAATGGCACGAGGGGTGGTTGGTGCATTCTGATGGAGCAATAAAACCAACAGAGAATGTCTTTCCTCCCCAGAGATATTTGCTGAACAGCTGAGGGCAGGTGCATCCCCGTCTCTCACTGACTGAAAGGGGTTGGCTGTATAGATAGAGATACCTGGAGACACATGACGGAAGCAAATACGCCAACGTGCTTTCAACTGATGAATTCAGGCGGCAGGTAGCAAGATTTCAATTTTTTTTTTCTTTTTTTTGAGACCGGGTCTCATGCTATCACCCAGGCTAGAGTGCAATGGCATAATCTTAGCTCACCACAGCCTCAAACTCCTAGGTTCAAGCGATCCTCCTGCCTCAGCCTCCCAAGAAGCTGAGACTACAGGCATGATCTATCATGTCTGGCTAATTTTTTTTTTATTTTTTGTAGAAATGGGGGTCTCACTATGTGGCCCAGACTGGTCTTGAATTTCTGGGCTCAATAGATTCTCCTACTACGGCCTCCCAAAGTGCTGGGATTACAGGCGTGAGCCACTGAGCCTGGCTCCGTTGTATTATCCTTTCAGCTCTTCTGCATTTGTAAAATTTTTTTGTGATCCACAGGGCAAAGAGAATAAGGAAAACACTGGTGAAATCTGAGTAAGGTCAGATAAGCCCTTTTCCTTGCAGAATCTGATGCTAACTGCAGGTAGATGGTGTCAGAATTGAATTGAATTGTAGGACATCCAGCTGGTGTCAGAGAATGGGTTGCGGTGGGAGACACCCACACACTTCTGGTCACAGAAGTGCGAGAGTGTAGGAAAATTTAGTGTGTGTTTTCCAAAGCCACACAGTGAGAATTTGTGAGAAGTGGCAAGACAACACTTTCCGCTAGAAGTCCCAAAGCCCTCCTCCTTCCCTTCTAGTTGACTACAGAGAATCGGGGCACATTCTCTGCTTCTGTTACTGAGACGTGGACACGTGGCGCCAGCAGCCCCTTGGGCAGATCAGCAACTCCAGTGTAGAGGGTTCTACAGATTCTTCGTGGTTCGAATCCTAAAGGGTTGGGATGGCCTCCGTCCTGAGAGTTCTGAGCTGAACATGTCTATTGCTTTTCTCTTCCGGATCAGTCTTTCCACTTGTGCTCTGTATGCTCACTATCATTGGTGTTGGTAATCAGTGTGATTTTGTATGAAAATGACTCACGCAACCAAAAAGGGCTAAATCTGAGAACCTGAATTAGTACTTGCTAAAAGGAAATAGTTTCAGGAAAATGGCTTTGGCTACTTTCATACTGAAATACTAAATAACATCAAATAATTTTGTACAAAATAATCTTTTATTTAATAGTTGTCAGAGTAAGCCGGGCATAGTGGCTCATGCCTGTAATACTAGCACTTTGGGAGGCTGAGGTGGGTAGATCACCTGAGGTTGGGAGTTCGAGACCAGCCTGACCAACATGGAGAAACCCCGTCTCTACTAAAAAATACAAAAAACTTAGCCGGGCATGGTGGTGCATGCCTGTAATCCCAGCTACTTGGGAGGCTGAGGCAGGAGAATCGCTTCAACCTAGGAGGAGGAGGTTGCAGTGAGCCGAGACTGCGCCATTGCACTCCAGCCTGGGCCACAAAAGTGAAACTCTGTCTCAAAAAAAAAAATAGTTGTCAGAGTAGAAAAATAGTCATATACTCGGTATAGTTAACAGATAGGAACACATTTTACAAAAGTTCTGACAATTAACAACAGTAAAAAAGTTCACAATCTTTCCAGTCTAAATTTCTGGTACAAAAAACCACAAACGTCTTTTTTTTTTTTTTTTTTTTGAGATGGAGTCTCACTGTGTCGCCCAAGCAAGAATGCAGTGGCCCAATCTCGGCTCACTGCAACCTCCGCCTCTCGGGTTCAAGCGATTCTCTTGCCTCAGTCTCCCCAGTAGCTGGGATTACAGGCGCCCCCCAATACCATGCTGGGCTAATTTTTATATTTTTAGTGGAGACGGGGTTTTGCCATGTTGGCCAGGTTGTTCTTGAACTCCTGACCTCAGGTGATCCACCCGCCTCCGCCTCCCAAAGTGCTGGGATTGCAGGCGTAAGCCACCGTGCCCGGTCAACGTCATTTCTTAATGGAAGTCAAACTGTCTGCAAATCATTGATTTTCTGAACTGTTGTGTCTATGGAAAAACATCCCCTGGGAAACTGGGACCACAACACATAGTAAACATCTGATCCTGGGATCTCAGCAAAGACAGAGGGCACACAGCTGGAATTCAGCAAGCTACAGTAATTTTTAAATACCATTTGGCATCACCACTTTTCACTTACCTTGAAGGTTCCTTATCAATCACAGCACTTAATAGTTCAGATTAAATGTTTGCATGTGTGGATTTTTATGAAGTGATTGTTCTGAAAAAGGGCAAAGTACTAATTGGAGTCCTGACTTTTCCAGATGGGTAACTCTTCTATTTCTGAAGACTTTATTATTCAACCTGGAACGTTATCTAAAAAACTGTTCCTCTAGCTTTAAGCTACAACTATTCTTTACACTCACCAAAGCAGGGGGTAGGGTGTAGTTTAGATTCAATTATGGAATAAAATGTTACAAATGTAAAATCTGATTTTGCTATGCCATGATTTCCAAAGAGTCACATGATATAAACATTGGATACAGGTTACATATTTGAGTATACTCCTACTATCAACTACTCATTAATATTCAGGAAAAAACAGACACAGAAATACAAACACACACATACTCTTGTTCCCTTACTTTTATTGAGAGGAAACTGCTAGGGTTTTAAGGTCTAGACCCATTTTTGTTCTCCTTAGAAATCTTAAAGTACAGTCACACGTTGCATATTAACATTTTGGTCAGTGACAGACTATGTATATGTCAGTGGTCCAAAAATTGTAATGGAGCTGAAAATTGTTATCACCTGGTGACATCACAGCCATTGTATTACAACTGCCTATAGTATTCAGTGTAGTCACAAGCTGTACAGGTGTGTAACCTAGGAGCAGTAGCCTAGACCATCTAGTCTAGGTGTGTAGTAGGCTCCACAATCTAGGTTTAAGTAAGGGTACACGCTATGAGGCTTGCGCAATGACGAAATCACCTAACGATGCATTTGGCAGAGCTGTTAAGCAACACGTGACTGTGTGTGTGTGTGTGTGTATATGTATATGTATATATGTGTGTATATATGCATATATATGTGTATATATATAAATATAAAAATATTATATCTTCAAAGGATTATTTCTAATACATAATTTTTTAATTGTTGCCACTAGAGATATGTAATAAAATTATGCATTATATATATAGTGGCAACAAAAAGAAAATTATGTATTAGAAATAATCCTTTGAAAAAAATCGTGAAGATCATTCTCTTCTTCCCATTTCTTAATAAGATACATGTCAAGTGCAACAACCCTTGTTCTAGAAACACTAGGACACTGCTATGTTCTGCAGGTATCTATGGGTATTCCTTTGCAGTGGTCCCCAACCTTTTGGGCACCAGGGATCAGTTTCCTGGAAGACAATTTTTCCACGGACCAAGGGGTGGTGCAGCAGGTTTCGGGATGAAACTGTTCCACCTCAGATCATCAGGCATTAGATTTTCATAAGGAGCGTGCAACCTAGATCCCTCACACGCACAGGTCACCATAGGGTTCGTGCTCTTATTAGAATCTAATGCAGCCGCTGATCTGACAGGAAGTGGAGCTCAGGCAGTAATGCTCGCTTGCCCACCACTCAGCTCCTGCTGTGTGGCCCAGGGATTGGGGACCCTGTTCTACAGGACCTTACGGATCCTTAGAAATGGAATCTAAGAGTTCAAGTCAACATGTAATCACGAAGTCTGCCAACAAGTTTGGTCGCAGCTTTGCAGAGGATATTTGCCATATGGCAATGTAATTTCAGGTCATTAGGGAGGTAGTTCGTAAGCAATAAATTCCCTTCTATTATACTTTTCCTAATTAAGTTGTATCATAGTTTTACTGAGGATGACTAGAGAATTATTTGGAGAAATGTTGATGAGCTTCCATGATTACAGCTAATTAATAACGGAGTACAACTTAAAGCTGAAAAGTCACTCTGGCTTCTGCTATTAAAAAGTCAACCAATAAATGAATAGGAGTTAATGGGAGACTATCCATGGATAACATCTCCAAATTTTCAATTACCCCAAAGCACAGGAGAGGAGACTGTCACCAAGAAAGACAAGAGACTTCCCTGGGCTCGGCCCCTGAATCATTCTCCACTCAGCCCTAGAAGCAAGTCTGCAAGTCCGGACCCTTGTCTTGTTAGAAACGAGGCTTCAGTCAGACCTTCCTAGGAGGCATTTGAAATCAATCAGAGACAAGTTCTCATGCAAAATCCTATTTTAGATGAATATATTGATATCAGGCTTTTGTCTAAAGTGCTGGCCCTAAAACATGGTTACATGAACAGGGTGAAAGGGACACTTACTACCACATCAGTCCTCATTTTCCCAAAAGTCTTGATCAAGTGGGCATAATGGTAATCCTCCATTTGTCGTAAAATAGCTGTCATGCAAGCCACGAAGTTTCCCTGTAAATGAATCAAAAGACAGAATTACATGAGACAGAACAACACTCATGGGAAAAGCCGGAATCATCCCAGATGCTGGGACTTGAAACTGTCAGGGAGAAGCAATGGGGCACGGACAGGAGCCCTGGGCTCTGCTGCCCCTCTCTCCGGGCTGATCAGCATAAGGCGTGGGTCACTTCCAACCTCAGGAATGGTTTTTTGGTAGGGGGTCCTTAGAAGATCAAGTTGAAAGTAGAAAGAAAAGCAAAACCCTTGAGGGGGTCTCACAATGCTGAGGACATGAGCACACAGTAACATGAATGAGACACACTGGTGCGCTCACACTCAGGACTGTATTTTATTCTCCCTGACTAGTAATACCTCAAATGTTTCCTGATACAGGGTTGTCCAGACCGGAAAAATGAGCTTGAAATATTTTTGCATTAAATACAAGAAAATTAAAGACATTGGAAATTAAAGACATGGAAATCACGGGCACTTCTGTGCTCTCCTGGAAACTTGCTGCCGTTATTATCAGGCAAATGTGTGTGCAGCTTCTCCTCTCGGGCCATGGCAAAGAAAGGCCTCTAATTTCTCAAAATCAGCCTGTATCCCCCCGCGTCCGATGCGGAGGCAATCACCACAACTCCACAATGAGTTATAGCCCAATTCTCCTCCCCGAGAAGAAGGAGAGGAGGAACGCGGGCTCATCAGAATGTCAAGTGGGAGAGCTGGGAGCTTCTCAGACCAGACGGAGCTGGGGAGAAAGGAAGAGAAGGAGGAAAAAAGAAAGCAACACAGAAAATCAAGAATGGGGAAGGTAAAGGGCCAAAGCTGAAAAGTCTGTCTGGCCTCTGCAAATGGAGGCAGACAGTATGTGTGTGGACGTGCGTGTGCACACGTTTGTTTGCGTGCCCTGAAGCGTGCTTGCTTTGGTGGGGGATTGTGAGCTAGGCAGTTCTGTTGCCATTAACTGTAACTGCTCACTGCTAGGGCTTCTAACTAAGAACACTGTAAAGCCTTCCTTGCTCTTAAATATTTTCCCCTAAGATAATGACATTTAAGGAACATAGGATATATATTTTTTCCCCATTAAACCAGTACAAGTTTGGTAAAATTATAGCATGAAACATACTTTGAGACATGTCTCTATTTTTCCCCTATTAAATGAGCTCTCAAATTGCATTCTTTTACTAACTCTCCTTTTACCAGCAATATATCAGAATGCCTGAATGTCTTTTATATTAACTTGGAATACAGGCTTTACAGTGAAATGTTAAAATCCAATATTTTCTCCAATTCATTTTATACGTATAGTATACATATCTGCTTCCAAATGAGTCCTCGAAGGACACATTACTCAAATTGAACAAATACAATAATGATGATATGATATCTTCCATTTGCCCAGAAATATAAATTATTTGTGAATGATGATAATTGCTGAGATTTAGATTCCAAGTTGGTGTTCAGGGAAACAGCTAAATAATGTTTGTTTTCCATTGAGGCAATGATTAGTAAAATGGCAAAATGGTCTATTCATGAACTTCTGAAACACATAAATATTTGGCATACCATTCAGCTCAAGAGAGGCTGCCTTTGTGTCTTGTCTACTCCTTATGACAATGAGATGTGTCCTGTGGATAATCGTCTTAATAATATTACACACCGATCAAGCACTGTGCTAAGGCTGTTAGAACTATGGCCCTTTCAACACTGTGACTTTAACAGAACACGACCTCTTTCAATCACACACAACTTTCTCTTCCTGTCCTACTTTACAGGCAGTGAAACTGAGGCTTAGAGGTTTCACTCTCTGAAGAAGTGAATGGCAAACCTTGGTGTGGAGGCCGTACTCCAGGGCTACAAGACAGGTACTTACTGGCTAACCTTATTTCTTTACCCCTCACCCAGACGCACATTTTAACTCTTCCTCTAAGGAATCTGAAGCCACTGTTGATGACCAACACAAGCTAGAGGTTCACTTTCCCCTACTCTTGCAGTCATCAGAAAAAGTTGGAAGAGGGGGAGGAAGAAGAGCCTTCAAAGTACTCTGCCCACATTTGATCCTGATGCAGCTGCTGTGACCCAGACTCTTCCCCATGAGATGAGGAGCTTTTCCTGCTGAGGAAGAGGCCTGTATCAGCCTAGGTGGACCTAGTGGGTGCTGAAATCAATTTTCTGCAGGTCAAACCAGTTCCACAATGGAGACTTACACATTAGAATAAACGAAATCACACAGTCAGCTATTTATCACCAGAAGCAATGTATCAATGTGCTTAGCTTAAATGATCAGGCTGAAAGTAGAAAGAAGAGCATAACTCTTGAGGAGGTCTCAAAATCCTGAGGGTATGAGCACAGAGTAACATTAATGAGAAATACCAGTGCAGCCAGACTCAGGCCAGATACGTGAACAGGTGACGTGGACATACTGAATTCAGGGAGCGGACCGTCATGTCATGCTGAAAAATTCATGCAAGGCAACAAATGCCAAAACTGTTGTAACACAGAAAACGAAAAACTGAAGAGAACACAGCAGTTTCCATAAAGCAAGTCCTGGGAGTACACAAATGCCCTGTTGGGAAGTCTCCCGGGACAAGAATATCAGAGAAGGCAACCGAACGGCCCCTTGTTTAACCGCGATGGGGATTCATTACAGGAAGCCCAGAAGGGCCAGAAAGATGGTCATTTCCACAAGCTAGAGGCGGTGCTGCCAGGCACTGTGCGTGCCCTCTTTACCAAACCTAAGGAAGTATTCCAGAAGTCATTTGCATCGTTCAGGCTTTCCTTTCTTAGCGAAAGTAAGTCTTGCTTTTTCAGCTCTTTTCTAAGGTGTAGCATGAATTCCATTAGGAAAGGGATGATCTGCATACTAAAATTCACTGAAATGCCCCTCTCTTTCCTCCCTGCCCTTTGGGAATGGAGTCTCAACCTTGGGGTATCAGTATTTTCACTGGGCAAACACTGCAGATACCATGAAGCCTTATGGTTTCCATGAACACAACAGAACTCTGCAGCGTATCTGTGGGCTTATAAGGGTGGATAAATGAGTATTTATGGAAGCCCTTTGAAACCAATCATTTATTAAGAACAAAAATGAGGGAGCTCTGTGAAAATAAAACTTTAATTCTGTATGCTCAGAAGAAAATTACTATTCTATGCTTTAATTGATTTATTTTAAATGCATTTGGGAGATGACTCCTAAATGAAGCTTTTATCTTCCAGACAATGGGTAGCTTAGCAGGTAGGCTGGGAGCAAAAGCCACGGTGCAGAATCATCCCCGAACCCGAACATAGGGACTAGGCTCCAGTACCAGCAGCTGAGTAAAAATAAGTCGATAAGTAAAAATAAGACATATTCCTTATAACTTCAAAGCAATGCAAAATGGGGCCACAGAAGTCAGGATATACTTGCAGAAAATTTAAAAACCAGGACACTAAATGCCTAATAAACAACAAAAAAAAGTGAACCTCATTAGCAATCAAAGATGAAAATGATACATCGTTATTTGCCTGCCAAAACAGCAAAGAAGTATTTCAGTGATGATAATGTGAGCAAGGCTGCAGGGAATGAGGACTCTTATATGCTGTTGGTGGGAACATAAATTGCTATAACCTTTTTAAAAAGTGATTTGGAGACAGGTTTGAAAAGTCTTGAAAATAAATACTCATCTCCTCAGTAATTCTATTTCTAATAATCCACCAAAGGAAGTAATTCAAAATAGAAAATTTCATACCCAAAGATGTTCATAGCATTGCTGAAAATTTTAAACATCCACCACAAGAAACTGTGTAAATCATATGATATTTTGTAGGGTTGCAAGATAAAATACAGGATGCCTAGCTCCATTTGAATCTCAGATAAACAAAGAAAAATAAATATGTCCTAAACGTTGCAATGAAATATTACATGAGATATACATATACTAGAAAAAGACATCTGTTGTTTACCTGAAGTTCAAGCTGAACTGGGGGTCCTATATTTTTATTTGGCAAATCAAGCAACCATAACTTGTGTTATGATGAAATATTGTACAACCATTAAATCATTAAACATTAACTATGCAAATATGGAGCATTTTATTAGCATGAGAAAATAATTGAAGAGGAAAACTGCAGTAATTATGTATATACATTTGACCAATGTAAAGAATATACAGTACAAGAAAAACAAAATATGACTAGAAAAGATACCAGATAGTCATGAGTGGAAGGAGAGTAAGCCCAGATTGTTTTTATAAAGAGAAAGTATGTCAATATTTTTAAAAGTGGTCCAGAAAGAAAAGGATCCACAAACTCTCCCTGTCTGCCCCTGATCTAGTTCATTTCTTAGTCTCCTGTCTTCAAACATCTCTCTCGCAGGGCTCCCCCTGCTGGTGTGGCCTTGGCTACTGCCTGGCACCGCTCCTGGAGGGAGCCCTGGCAGAATTCATCCCCGCGCACCCCCAGCCCTCCTGAAGTACCTCAGTGCCCCAGTTTTAAATCTGTTTGGGCCCCATTTCACTAGGTAGTTTGATAGGCAAAATGGAGAACAGGTAGGACTGAGCACAGGTAGAAGGAAAGGCAGGTAGAACTGAGCACAAGTAGAACTGAGCACAAGTAGAACTGAGGCTGGGTAGAAGGAAAGACAGAACTGAGCACAAAACTAAGTGTAGGTAGAATGGACAATAGGTAGGACTGAGGCTGGGTAGAAGGAAAGGCAGGTGGCACTGGGCACAGGTGGAAGTGAGTCTCAGCAGAAGGAAAACAGCACAGGTAGAATGGGGCACTGGTGGTGGAGCAGGGGGACGTTTGGTGACAGGCAAGTTGAATGTAGGATGTCACTGGAGGATATAAAAACAAAAGGCTAACAAAAACACAGACTGGAGAATGGAAACTCAGAATGAGACATACCTTTTAAACAGTGCCTTTGTCAACTATGCCTAGTGGAAAGTTTAAGTATGAATTAGAAGACAAAATCCAAAGGGTTTTAATTCATATTCTTGAGGAGCTGTGAAGGTGTAATAAAAATGGACTTAGCC